CGAGGAGGGGCACAACTCCATTCAAGTCAAAAGTGACCCCTTGATGGCCATGTAGTCAACCTGGACTGCACTGGAGAGGAACCTAACGTGGAAGAGACTCTCCCGTGAAGGTCAGGCTCGCCGAGAGGACGTCTGGAATCATGCGCCTTTCAGGTCACAGTTACAGGGAGTCCTCGAGGCCTCACCAGCGTTCCCATAAAAACTCAGCCAGCTCTGCAAAACAGTCCATATCCCCGTCGCCTCCCTTTGTTCCCGAGGTGACGTGTCCTCTCCCCATCATCAAGTGAGGCGAAGTCTCGGCAGCGAACGGCCTGTTCCGACGAGAGCCGTGCCCCAGCGCGAGGGTTCATTTGTTTACATAAGGCTGTTTATACAAAGGGCACATCAAAGTCAGAACCCTTTAAATAGAATAATGCCAAAATATTTGGTCGCAAACTGAAAGATGGCTTAAAATGCATTTGGGTATTTTGGTTTTTCAAAAACGGGAACTTTTCGATGGAAGCGCTTCCAGCCGAGGTCTCCCCACCCGCCCCCCGCCCCCGCCCCCCGCCCCCCGAGGTGGTCCGGGGAGCGAGCAAGCCTTTCAAAGCCGGCGATGGTCGTCTTCTGTGGTTGGCAGGGAGGTTACTATCAAAGTCAACACTAACGAGGGCCATTTGTGCAGCTGACGTGCTGCCAGGCTCTTTACGGGATGAAGAACAAAGTGATACGACATTAAGTCTTCGTTTAGGGAACCACTCCAAGCCCAAACGCCTCTCTTCCCCTGTCTTCCCCTGAGCTCGGAGAGTTCCTGGAGGGTTGAGGCAGCTTTGGGCTTCTTGGTTCGCCCCGGGGAGCTGACCTGCCCGGGCCAGGTTCAAAGCCTCTGCAGAGTTTTTGAGGCCAGGCTCAGTGTGGTGCTTGGCTGAGACCTCTCCACGCGAGAACTCGGTCCGCACCGAAAGGCCCGGGATTCGGAGTTTAGTTAAAAGGAACAGGGCTCCTTGCTCTGCGGTTTGGAAAGCCTAAGTCTGCCCTTTTCTGGTTTCCAAAAATTATATCCAGGTAAAACGTTCAGCAGAAATATTTGTATTTGTTTTTTTGCTGTATTTTTCAGTAAGAAGAAAGGGGAGGAAGGGAACCTTGCAGCTCAATAAGAAGCGCTTGTGGCCTGAACGTGGGGCTTAAATAAATATGTCTACGTCAACAACGAGGTGTGAGGGGGGTTTTCCCATCAGAAGGGGAAGTTCTCATTAACTACACCCTTCGGTTTAACACACAGAACACCGACTGACCGCTTCCCAGGTGCCAGGACGCCTTTCGGTTCAGGGTCACAATGACTTGTTCACCGCGTCACCCCGAAAAGGCCAAGTGGCTGGTCTATGCGTACCACATCACCCCAAAAAGCCCAAGTGGCTGGTCCATGCACACTGCACCACCCCGAAAAGCCCAAGTGGCCAGTCCGTGCACACCGCATCACCCCGAAAAGCCCAAGTGGCATCTAAAATAAGAAAAAGGGACTAAACATTCTCATAATGAAGTACAGGTATGTCCCAAACATTATGGAGGATGGCTTACACTAAAAATGTATTCACTATTTATCTGAAATTCAAGTTTAACAGAGTGCTCTGTGTTGTATCTGGCCAGCAACGCCAGAGGACAGAGCTGTGCAGCCACAGCGTCTTCAAAAGGAGGAAGCATGTCTTTCAGAGACTTTGCAAGTCTGTGGTAATAAATAACACTATGAAGGCTGATTCAAACCATTATCATCACTCTAGTCACATTGAATTACATAATTTATCATGTGCTATAAGGTAATGAGTCTGTAAACCTGTGTAAGCTGAACTTTTGTAACTCACATGTGTTTAGGTTAAAAATTTCAGCAATGTTTCATCCTCGTCTACGATTAATCTTCAGTTGATTCTTCATTGATTTTAGTTTCCTATGTTCCCAGGTTTTTAAGTTAATGATCTATTTGGGAATTCTTAAACCAGGGACCCCATTGTGCGAGTCTTCTTGTAAAACAAAGAGTCTTTTTTTCCTTGGAATTTGAAGACTTTTCTTGTATTTTCATTAATCACCTCTACTATTTCAGTTTTAGAAGTTCGAGCATGGATTTTTCAACATGAGCACACCTGATTTCCTCTTGTATAGCTTATTACTGAAAAAAAAAACAGAAACAGCTTAAGCAGCTCATTTTTCAAAGTTTAAGTAGTTCATTTCTTTAAATCGGAGGGATTTAAAGTTTTGTTTTAAGAAAAAAGAAAACTTCCCCACAGAGTCCCGTGAGCGCGTGCTCAGGGGAAGTGATGCATCGGAGTGCTCTCCCGCTCTCTGCCGGACCCCACAGTGGGGACAGGCGACCCCCAGGGGCACAGCCATCCGCACACTCAGGTGGGGTGGGCCTGCCCGCAGGCGCTCCGAAGCCCCAGGAAGCGGGCCTGGCAGGGCAGGTGGGCCTGGAGACGATTAGTCCGCTCCCCTCTCAGGTGGAGAGTGGCTGGGCCATCCTTTAGGGCCTTGCAGCCTCCCAGGTGAGGTGTGCTATTTGTGTTGGAGCTTCCTGTTCCCCCACGGGGCAGGTCACAGTGGAAGCCCAAGGACTCCTTCCTTCCCCTCGTCATGCGAACTAGTTTGTTCAAAAATTACTGTGGGCCTCCCGGAACCAGACCCTGTTTAAGCCCTCGGGATCCACTGGTGAGCAAGCCAGGCCGCCTGACCCCTGCGTCCTCGAGGTCACATTCGACCGGAGCGGGCAGGCAGTGAACCACAAACACGAGGAGTCAGTCGCACAGACCCAGTGTCGGAAGGGAGGGAGGAAGTGTCGGGAGGGCGGCCGGGTCTCGATGGGGGCCTGGGGAGGAGCTGCGTTCAAAATGAGGGGGGTCAGGGTGGGGCTTGGCGGTGGGGACAGTTGAGCCAGACTTGGAGGGGACATGGGAGGCCAGCCCCTGGGTGCTCTGAGGAATAGAGTCCCAGGCAGGAAGAAGACAGCCCGAGTCCCTGCCTGTGTCTGACCTGTGGTTCTCAGCCCACGACATTTTGCCCCAGGAGACATTTAGCAATGTCTGGAGGCACTTTAGTTTGCCACTACTGAGGGGCTGGGGAGACTACTGGCATCTCTTCGCTAGAGGCCAGAGATGCTGCCAATCATCCTGAAAAGCACAGGACAGTCCCCCGCAGCAGAGAATGAAGGGTCCAGCCCAAAACCCGAGGTTGAGAGGCTCTGCGTTGGAAGAACAGTGAGGAGAAGACAAGGTCAGAGGTAGCAGAGGCTGGGGGATGGGCCATGGCCAGGTCAGGTAGGGCCTTAGACACTTGTGGACTTTGGCTTTGCCCCCAGAAGAAATGGGGAACCCCTGGAGGGTCTGGGGCAGAGAAGGGGTGTGAGTGCATGACCAGTTGTGAGCACCACGCTGGCTGCAGGTGAAAATCAGGCTACAGGAGGGAAGGCCAGGATGAGGGAGCTACCCAGGCAGGAGGGGGTGGGGCTCGGACTAGGGGGAAGCAGCTGCAAACTTTAGCCTCTGGTACCGAGGTGCTCCGGGGATTCACGGGATCCCTGCTCCGCTCATTGCTCCAGATCATAAATCTCCCATGTGTTATCTGTATCCAGATAGATGGATGGGGGTGGTTCAGTCACATTAGCTGGATTTTGTTTTACGCAGTAGGATACCCGAGGTCTTTCTAAGCAATCGGTTCATGACCAAACAATTAGATGTGGGTTAGGTGCAGTGTAATCCTTCTCTGCTTTAACATGGTCTCGGCCAAAAGCATTGACTCTTGCTGACAGCTCTTTTGTAGTACATTTCTCCAAGCCACGAGTAATGCTGAACAGACTAGCTTATGTGAAAATGGGATGAGGGGAGCATAAAACATCCAGTACCTAATAAACAGGCATCGGAGTTGCTTCCCTCTCTGAGAAATGTATCAAACTGTTCAAACGGTGCCTCTTCTCTGGATCAGCCAAAGCAAGGGCTGAAACACAGCAGAAAACCCCAAGAGGTAGCAGATTCCTGCCTTTCCCCGGAGGTCTCAGGCATCACAGCAGGGACCTCGTCATTCCTCCCTGGGATGTCCCTAAAGTGCGTGTTGTGTCCTGTTTGCAGCCCAAGAAAGGGGAGGTGTGTGACAGCCTGCAGCAGGGGCCCGCGGACCCCGCCCCGGGGTCACCCGCATCTCTTTCTGCCTACTGCTATGAAACCTTTTAATGATCAACTCACAGTATTACTGTATTTTTTAATCTCATGCTGTTCCAAGGAGGTGGTAAATCAGCGTCTTTGTTACTGAAAAGTAGGCTGTGTTTCAGCCTCCTCATGCTTTTTAAGGAAGTTTTAAAATGTAGTTGCATTCATGAGCTTTTCATCTGTTCTATCAGAATGATTCTGGTCCCTCGGACCCGTGCGGAGCTGCTAAGTGGGGTGGGTTTCAGGGGCGAGCACGCGGCGGCAGCAGTGTAGGATGACTCCCCATCCGTGGTGACCCTTCTGTCAGCATCCCCGCGGCACAGCTCCCGGGTCGGGCCGCTGCGTGGGAACTCCTCCAGGGCTCACTGGCCTCCCCGCACCTACCGCCGAGGGTCGTGCTCTGCTCCGGGGAGCATCCCCGCCCAGCCGCACTGTTCGCCACCCTCTGCTCCAGGCTCTGTTTTCAGATGTGAAAACTGGCCTTGGAGGATCCGCAGCTCGCAGCCACCTCAGTGCGGCCTTGTGAAAAGTGACAGGCGTTACCCGAATGAAAACCACGCCCCTAAGGATCTGTTCTCTGCCAGGAAGGGGGGCCCCCACAGTGTCAGTCTCCCGCTTCGACGGGATCATTTTCCTTCCACGGAGGGTGCGTGTCCGCCTCTGCTCTCGGGGTGGGGGGGTGGGGTGACAGTGGCCACTTAGCTGGACAGGTTGCCCGTCTTGCTCTGCGTCCAGCCGTGGTTGACTCTGGGAGGCCCTTTGATCTAGAAGATGGCTCGAAATGACCACTGTGGTTGTCTCACGTTTTCTGTTTTCTGTTTTCTTGTCGAACAGCAAATATGCCAGAGGATTACCCTGATCAATTTGATGACGTCATGGATTTTATCCAAGCCACCATTAAAAGACTGAAACGGACCCCGGACAAACAGATGGCTGTGTTTCCGAGAAGGGAGCGAAACCGGCAGGCCGCGGCGGCCGGCCCGGACAACCCCAGGGGGAAAGGCCGGCGGGGCCAGAGGGGCAGGAACCGGGGCTGCGTCCTCACCGCCGTCCACCTGAACGTCACGGACTTGGGGCTGGGCTACGAAACCAAGGAGGAGCTGATTTTCCGGTACTGCAGCGGCTCCTGCGAGGCCGCCGAGACGACTTACGACAAAATATTGAAGAACTTATCCAAGAACAGAAGGCTGGCGAGTGACAAAGTGGGGCAGGCCTGTTGCAGACCCGTTGCCTTCGACGACGACCTGTCCTTTCTAGATGATAACCTGGTTTACCATATTCTAAGAAAGCATTCCGCTAAAAGGTGTGGATGTATCTGACCCCCCGCTCCAGAGACTGCGGCGTATTGCATTCCTGCTACCGTGCAAAGAAGGGGACCAAGGTTCCCAGGAAACGTTCGCCCAGATGGAAGATGAGGACCAAGGTGCAGGAGGAGGAGGAGGAGGAGGAGGAGGAGGAAGGCAGCCATTGGGGGAGCCTGGTACAGAGAGATCCAGCTGCAGCAAACTGGATAGGAGAGGGAGAAGACAGACGTCTGGACCCTCCCAGACGGCGGCCGATGCCACAGAAGCTCAGGGCTGGGGTCCCTGGTTGGGTGTTGCCATTGTTCCACCTGACACCGTCCACTGTCCACTGGCCACTGTCACCGGTCTCGGGCACAGTTGCGGATGCACTTGAAACCAAACCAGTGTGTCTCCTGTGGTTTGTTCTCACGCGTCAGGGGACACCGGGAAAACGTGACGCCGGTGTCGTTCCCTGTCGTTACCTTTTACTGCTGAAAGCGAGAAAGGTTTATTTTCCTGTCACTCCGTGGAGACCTGCCCCGGAAAGAAGGGGAGGAAAACAAGCAAAGACACAAGACGCAGTAACCTTGGACTCTGAAAGCGAAGGCCTGAGGTTTTACTACAGCCAGCGCGTTGTGAACGGCTGGCAGTTCATTTTGAACTTGGTGTGTGGGGTGGGAAGAAGTCGGCTAGGAACCCAAACGGCTGTTCGCGTGACTGGAAACCAACCTGAAGGCATGTCCCTTCTGGCCCTGGACACGGGAGACCAGTTGTGGTTTTCGGCAGCATTCTTGCAGGAGAGCAAGTGGGGAAGCTCCCCCGCCCCCCGCCACCCCCCCCCCCGGGGCAAGGAGGCCCGCCGGCCCGCCGGTTTACAGAGAGACAGATGTTACATACACCCCAGCTCCACTTGTGCGTGGTCACCAGTGACCAGAGAAGCTACTCGATGCAATGCATCCGTTTCAGATACAGAAATATAGAGAAGATATTTATTGAGATTTAAGTTATTGTTATTTATTGCCGTTCACTAATGAGTTTCTCTTTCTTCCCTTATTTATTAAAGTTTCTTTTCAAAGGTGCCAAAGTATATGTGCTCGCAAAATGCAAAGAAGGGTGACAAAGGAAATTTTTAAATTGGGAACAAGGGTCCATGCTTTTCAAAGTATTAAAAAACATCTTTCGCTAGGCAAAAATCACTTACTTTACCTTTTTCAGAAAAGCCCTCATTAATTTCCCCAGATTTCAGCATTTTTCCCGATTTTTCATTTTTCACAAAAGGAATGTGTCCGAAGGGCCGTGTCTGAGGTGTCCTTTCCGGGAGCGGTGCGCAGAGACCGTGGGCACTCGATTTTATTTCTTTGTTGCTCCAGCTCTAGACGGAAATGCCATATGTTCCACGTTCTGTTGTATGTAAGCTCTTACCCCGACCACGTGTAGCTGTGATATGCATAACTGTACACACGAAAGGTTCAGTTCCTTGCGGTAGGAAGTCCTGCATCCCCTGTCGACCTAAAGGCAGGAGTCCTGTCAGGGGGCCGGGTTCCACCCTGACGGGGGACTCTTCCTCCGTCCTCCCCACTGCTCCCGAGACTCGGGCCAGTGCCAGGTGCAGCGGAGGAGCACCCTGCCACTGGAACTGGGCTCTGCTGGTGGCCATGAAAGCCCGGGGCTGTCTTCTCGGGGCCACCGCTGCCATCCCGGTACACCTGATCCCTCCCCTGGAAGAAGGCGGCCTGGAAGGGTGGGCGAGGGAGACTTGTCTGGCCTGGCCACTCGCCAAGCCCGGTGCCAGCTTCATGACGAACGTCTTGGCGGGTGGAGAGAGCCCCTCCCACACAACCCAGGCCGCGGGTGCGCTGGGCCACGGACCCCTGCCCCCTGCGCGGTGCGCTGCGCCCTACAACGGAGCCTGTTGCGCCTGCGTGGTTACTCGTCCCAACGTGTGGCAGGCTTAGCGAGGCTTACTGGCCTCCCTCCAATCAGTGTGTTAATTTGACTAAGCAACAGAGAGGCAGCAGTTACCAGGCATCTCCTCCCTCCAGCCCCGAAACACCCCAGTTCTCGCTCACCCTTCCCCTCTCTGCCCTTTCTGCTGCTCGGCTGGGAGACACAGGAACAGGGCCTCCCCTCCCCCTCTGTTGGGGCCGGAAGTGAGGGGACCTTGCTTAGGAGCAGCCGTCTGGTCGTTCAGGTGGCACAACTTGATGCCGCCCCAGGATCATCTGTCTGATTCAGAGACTCCTGGCAGGTTTGGTGGCTGGTGTCCCCGGGTAACAACTCGGTCAGCCCCCAGCTCCCCATAGAGAGTCCCCGCCCAGAGGGAGGGCCCGTGGGTTCCCTGGGTGTCGACGACTCGTTCCCAGCATCACCTGCGCACCACAGGCAGGTCTTCACCGAGACAAATCGCTCCACCAAATCCGCAAAAGGGTAAAGTTTGTGATTTTTCTTTATCATTGCAATTACCACCTGATGCAGTAAGGAGTGCCCTTCTTTGGAAGTTCTGACTTCTCTGATCTGTCTTGGTCGTTTGTGTTATTCAACCAAAGTTCTCTACAGACTTTATTTTTGTACAATATCATTTTGTAACTTTTTACAAATAAAGACTCATTTCTATTGCTCTCTGTACTTCTGTACTTCCTCACGTGTCCAGGGACTACCACTGGGCCAGGCAGCCAGGCCAGAGCATCCGGGAGGGCTACAAGGCCATCCCCGCCTCCTCACAGCCTCAGCCTGCTGGTTGGTCAATGGCCTTGTCTATCAACTCTCCACAACCAATCACTACCCGAAGAGGAAAAGCCTTCCTTTGTTCAACACAGATACTTAAGGGTGCCTACACTGTTCAAGGCACCAGCCATCCAAAAGTGGAGTTGATGTGTCATTTGAGTAGAGGAGGAACTGTACAAAAAAGTGATAGTAAGTGCTATAAAGAATCCAAAAAGGGCCCCAGCTGGTGTGGCTCAGTGGATTAAGCACCGGCCCGCCAACTGAAAGGTTGCCCGTTTGATTCCCCGTCAGGGCAAGTGCCTGAGTTGTGGGCGGGGTCCCCAGTGGGGGGCGTGCATGTGAGAGGCAACCAATCGACGATGTATGTTTGCTCACACACTGATGTTTCTCTCCCTCTCTTTCTCACTCCCTTCCCCTAAGTTTGGAAAACTTTGAGTTAAATAAGATCAAACAATGTTTTTTTAAAGTAAAAAGAGAAGTGTGGGGCTTCTTGGAGCCTGTACCAGACTAACCACCTACGTGACAGTCCGGGGGGTGGGAGGGTTGTGACATGCAGCATGCCCCAGGTGGGTGGTCCCCATGAAACCGCTCACTGTGCTTCTGTTTTCTGTCTCGTGGCACCTGTTGACTGTCCCTGGGAACTACCCTTGGGCCATGTTCCCTGCTCCTTTAAGCACCAGGATGAAGGGGATGGAGCTAGAAATCAGTGAGAGGCAGAACCTACTGGGCAGCTCCCACGGGAAGGACACCTCCCGCACACACATACCACTGGGGCACTGTGGTTTCTTGCTCAGCGTGATTAACCAGTGGTCAACGTGGGGAATCTCACTTCCCAAAGGAGACTGCAGAACGAATTTCTCCAGAGAGGGGGAGGATGTGTTGAAAGCTGGGGAATTCTTAGCAATCGGAAAGGGCACTTCCGCCATGCTTCCTGGGAGACCCCACCAGGCTCCAACGGCTTTGAACAGCCAGGACTTTGGCTGGTCCACTGTCCCCAGGGACCGAGTGCCCCTCGCACTGGTCCCCGGGGTGGACACTGCCTTCCTCGGGCTTCTAGCTCTGAATCCTGCCCTTGTACCGGGCATGGTGTCAGAGCACCGAGCCTGGAGCCCGGACGCAGGGGCTGCCAGTCTCACGTGGACCGCGCCAGGAGATCTTCTGGGGCCGGTTTCTTCCAGGGTAGCCGGTGCTGAGTGGAGTAAAGGTTTAAAAGAACTTTAAAAAGAATCGACCCAAGGTAAAGGTGGAGAGTCAGAATTTTCTGAGCCAAGTCTCAAAACCAGAAAGGCTCCCTGATACCCTTCCCATGCAGGGGCCTAATTGAGCCACTGCTGAGTGGCTATTTGACTGAGAATGACGGGGAGGAGGGAGCCTGGGCCCACGCTGTCCCGCGTGGCTTCTCAGGACCACGGCAGGGAGGGAGCACCGGCGGCAGCCACGGACTGGGGCTCCAGCGTCCCTCCATCAGGTAATGAGCCGTTGGAGCCCAGAATGTCTTCTTGGGACACTGCTGGGTGAACAGAAGGGCGACCGTCACCCCACGCAGGAGTTAACTTGACTTCTGTCTCATGACACCACATCCTGAGTGAAATCAAAACCGAATGTTGCCAAGTCATCCCCGAGGGTAACTAGATAGTGAGGGAAATAAAGGGAAAGCACCACTTACTCACATGTGACCACGAAGGCATTGCCACATCCCGCCCGTGGCAGGTGAGGGCACCGATGACGCCAGCGGGGTGGAGGCCGCGTGGTGACAGGTGCAGAGGGCGCGCTGGACGGCCCTGGCGAGTGGCAGGTGGGAGGAGACGCTGAACGGAAGAGGGGCCAGGGACAGCGGCAGAGGAGGGGCACCTGACGGCCGACTCCCCGGTAAACACGCCCCGTTTCCCCCTGCCGCTCCGTCTCACGCAAAACTGGGGAGACGCACTCTTTGGGACGGACTTCTACCCAAGTGATTACTCATTGTTTATCTGAAATCCGGCTGGGCAGCCTGTATCTTAATTTGCTAAATCTGGCGAGAGAACATGACATTTGAGCCCGGCCTTGAGTATGAGCAGGAATCTGTCAGGTGGACGGGGACAAAGGGTGGAGCTGGGATGAGGGACAGACATTCCAGGTGGAAGGAACAGTGCGACCCGCAAAGGCAGGCAGGCGGCCCCTGCGTGGCCCAGGAGCCGGGGGCGGGGAGCGGGGGCAGGGGCTGGCTCCGGCACCACGGGCATTGCACCAGGGGCCACGGGGTTTTACCAGTCCACACAAGGTTTGAACTTTGATATTTTTAAAATCAGAAAAAAATTAAACATAGCAATAATGAATACACAATAACAAATCTAGCCCAGATTATATTCCTCCTTCTCTACCAAAGCAGTCGTGTAATTTTCAATACATTTGTATAAAAAACAGGACCCAGAAAGGTCATAGTGCAGCCCTGGGCACACTGCTCATACACTTCCTGGGTCTCTCCTGCACTTTCTGTCTGATGTTCCCTTCCTCGCTCCATCACTGTTGGGGGCAGGGATAAGCCTAAAGCAGGCTGATGCAGCCAGAGATGGAAATTGCGCGTACATAACAGGACATCTGTGGTCAGAAGTTTCCTGCACAACAGGATATCTGCGATTAGAAACATTGTAGGTGCCTAGCCTGAGCACACGGGTGGCACCAATCAGTGCCTTGATCATGCGCCTATCATGCGCCCCCTAGCCTATCCCAGTTAAGAGCACGCCCCAAAGCTACCAACCAGAGCTACTTCCCCTATCTGCCTTCCTCTACCCTCCTCTATATAACTCCCTCCATTTTAAAATAAAACTGGCAGCTTGATCAGAATCCTTTGACTTGCTGTCATTCTTTCGCGCCTCCTGTCCCATCCCTTTTCATCCGTTACAGGTACTTCGGCGGACCCCGTTGACTGCCTCGCGGGCCGAGGCACATCACCAAAGCCAACCTCCTCTAGAAAACAAAACAAAACCTTCTTCCCACTCTTCAAGATAGTCAGTCATCTTGAGATATTTGCATTGACTTCCTACTCGGGGAAGCAAACTTAAGGGCAGGCCGTTC